AAACTTCTTGTATCGTTTCCTAACTTTCCTGACTCACTTTCCACAAAATTATAATAAACAAAAGGATATATGAATTTTCGAATTAATTATATTCAGAAATTACCATATTCTAAGTAAAGGATAACGATGTGTGTATTATATATTACAAATTAGTTACAAATTTACATGAACCAGAATTAGTACACAAAACTGAATATTAAAGAGATTTCCTCCAAGAAATTTATACTTAGGAGAAAATCTATATATATATATATATATATATATATATATATATATATATATGATATATAATACAAATTTGGAATATATTTCTGGATATCGATATGGATTTGCAAATGCAAAACCAGAAATGCAATAAATATGATAATTTTGCATGAAAACTGCATCGGCGAATAGTTGTAAATTTGAAAGCTAGTTTGGCTTAAAGTCGACATAAATTTAATTTAAATTTTGTAAATATATATATATATATATATATATATATTACAGATTTTTTTTTAAATTTGTAATTAAATATCTTAAATACTCCTGTAGAAAATGAGCTTGAGTCTAAGACAGTTTTCTATTGAATTTGCTTTTACATTTTTACACTTTTTCTAATATAACTTTTGAAGTGTTACAGAAAAAAAAACTGTCTTTGGCAAAATTAAAGCTCACAAAATTCTTAATAACTTTTCTCATATCATAAAAATGTGTAAAAACTTTTATTTAACAAAAATTAAAGTTGAATTTGGCGCTTGATTAAATTTTGACAGTTAATTTCCTCTTGATTAAATTTTGTCAGTAAATTTGCTCTTGCATTTTCACTCTTTTTTTCAATATAACTTTTGAAGCGCAGAAAAATAAATATCTGACAAAATTTAAGCTTAAAAACTTCTTAATAACCTTTTCATATAACATAAATTTATATAAATACTTTTATTTAACGAAAATTACAGTTGAATTTGGCACTCGATTAAATTTTGTCAGTAAATTTGCTCTTGATTAAATTTTGTCAGTAAATTCACTCTTGTATTTTTACTCTTTTTTCAAAATAACTTTTGAAGTGTTGCAAAAAAATAAAAACTGTCTTAAACAAAATTAAAGCCTAAAAACTTCTTAATAACCTTTTCATATAACATAAATTTAAATAAAAACTTTTATTTAACGAAAATTACAGTTGAATTTGGCACTCGATTAAATTTTGTCAGTAAATTTGCTCTTGATTAAATTTTGTCATAAAAATTCGCTCTTGCATTTTTGCTGTTTTTTTTTCAAAATAACTATTGAATTGTTGCAAAAAAATAAAAACTGTCTTAAACTTAAAATTAAAGCCTATAAAATTTTTAATAACTTTTTCTTATAGCATAAATTTGTATAAAAACTTTTATTTAATAAAAATCACTTTTAAAGCCAGCACTTCTTGAGTAAATCTGATCGTACATATTAAGGACGTAATTTTGTTTAAAGTAATTTTGTTTAAAGTAAAATATCTTACAAATTTGTTCTAGAATAAAATTGTGCTTTGAAACGGTTTCATAGTACATTATATTTTTTAAAAATTTCTAGTATTAAAATATTAAATGTTTAAACAAAATATTAGTAAATAAAAATTTGCTATAAAGCTCAACTTGAATTTCATGTATATTTATCGTGTAATATGCATTTTTGCACATTTTATATACAATATAAAAATAAAATTAATACTATCTTATAGTATATAAAAAATAAACATACGTGAATAAAGAAAATTAAATTTTTATTTGACAAACTACAAAAACTTGAATCAACGTGAAAAAATAAAATTATAAAACAAAAAATCATGGTGAAAAAATTTAGTACATTTTTTATAAAATGTAATTGAAGTTATATCGCAGAACAAAATTATATATATATATATATATATATATATATATATTTATATATAATTCCTCCACCGTTTTCCTTACAATTTTCAATTCCAAAGAAATTGGGTAACGATCTTTTCATTCAATCAGAATAATTAATGATCCCGAAGTGAATCTTTCACATAAATCTTAATTAAACGGAATAAATACGGTATAAATCCTTTTATTGTCATTACTTCATTTCTAAATTAGGCAGAAACACTTTAGAAAGGATTATTGAAAGGGAAATTGACTCCGAAAATGTGAAATATAATTTAAAAAATAATAAAAATATAACATCTAGTCTGAATTGTAATTAAAGTAAATTGCAGTATTCCAAAGTATTTACAAAATTTTTTCTATACCAATTTTATAGCTCATAAAATTCTAAGAAACTTTTTCATATACCATAAATTTGTCTGAAAACTTTAATTTAACAAAAATTAGAGTTGAATTTGGCACTTGATTAAATTTTATCAGTGAATTCGCTCTTGCATTTTTGCTGGTTTTTCATTATAACTATTGAAGTGTTCGAGAAAAATAAATAATACTCATTTTTTCTTGTTTAACATTACTTATTATAATTTTATAGGATTATTAAATTACTAATATATATTATTTTTCTATGTAGTTACAAATTAGCAATTTAATTTGCGTCAGAGACGTTCAAATACATTTTTATGGCGAGTAAAAGCCGTTACACGGATTTTACGATATAACGTTAATGACGTTTATTATATGCTATTTAGCCGTTAAAATACATACATATTATATATATATATATATATATATATATATATATATATATATATGGCTAAAGTCTATAGTAATATTTCTGGAAAAAATGTGCGTAAATCATAACTTTTTAATTGCAATCTTGTTGCAATGTTGTTGTCTCCGGGGGCCACACTTTGGAAACCACTGCTCAAAGTGTTTTACGATGTTAAAAAATAATATTTACTATTTAATTTTGAAATATTTTGCTAAATATTTCATTTAAATTAGAGAAATAGTTCATAAGTTACAAGAGATGTAATGAAGAAATGAATAATTTAAGAATAAATAATTAATAAATACTTTTAGAAAATTCAGGACATTTTTTTTTTGGTTTTTGTCAAATAACTCAAAAATTCATATAAAGGCATTTTTTTAAGTTAGATACACTCAGATATAAAAGTTTTGACTAAAACGACTTTGAATTCGATATTTCATTCTTAAGCAATAAACATAGAAATTTGTGACATTTTTATCGTTTTTGTCAAATTACTCACAAATTTTACTTTTTTTCTTATCCACTTATATTGTAGTATAAGATAAGAGTCAAATCTTATTCGAATATATATAGTCCTATTAATCTTCTAGTAAATAAAATTGCCTAATTCGTATTTATTGGTTTACGATCAATAAAATGGCATTATTGATTTAGAAAGCGCCGAATGAATAAATGATGCTTTCTGCTTTTTATTATGCATTGTCAGCAAATTGCTGTCGTAAAGATCGCGAATTTTATTATATATATATATATATATATATATATATATATATATATATATCTATATATATATATATAAATCTCGGGTCATGATGTTGGTTTGCGATGAACGCCCAAACTACTGAACCGATTTTAAATTTTATTGGCTCATCGTGTGTATATATATCCAATTTAGGTTATAGGAAATTTTGAAAGATAAATTTAAAATATAAATATATAATTTTTATAAATTTCAAAAAAAATTGACAAAAATTGACAAAAATTGACCAAAAAAAAACAAAACACTAAAAAGAAAAATGTCAAAATGTATGGAAAATTCGAGAAAAAATGATTTATGATTTTTGAAAAAAAAATTTGACAGTTCAAATATAATTCAAAAACATACATATATAGATATATCCAGCATTTATATCCAAATTAGATGAAATGCTATATTCAAAATCACTGTTTATAGTTTTAAATCTAATTAAAAATTAATGCTTAAAAATTTAAATAAATGTTGACACGAAAAAAAGTGCAATGTCATTTGTCAATATTTATGAATATAATTAGATAAATAGATTTATAATTTATATTTATTTGATTAGCTTATAAATTATTTTGGATATTCATCAAAACATTATAGATCACAATAAAAAAGCGGCATCTTGAATTTAAAATTAATCATAAACAAAATATTGACAGTTCAAAAAAATTGAGGTTTTAACGGCATCAATAAGAAACAAATATACATTAATTATTCCAAGTTATGTTATAGGCAATATTGCCAAACAAATTATAGATAGAAAACATTATTGAAAAATAAATTATATCATATTATATTAATTTTCGACAAAAAAGGAAATATTTTGACATTTATAAATTTAGTGCATATTGGATATATGAAATTGACATTCACTATTTTTAAATTAAATGCAAATGTAAAAAATCAGATATTTTTATAAAAAAATGTATATTTAGGTAATAGTACTGCGTTGATTTAGACTAAAATCTAATTTATTCACTGATTAAAAAAAAATGCAATATAGTAAATATTAACTATTTGACATATACAAAATTAAAATAAACAAAACACTATGATAGCGTTGGAATTAATTACCAAAGTGTAAAAAAATTAGCGTAATTAAAATATAATATTATTAATATATCATGTATATTATAAGATCTTCTGCAAAGCGGCAAAATATTTTTGATGACAAAACAACGTTTGCCGGATCAGCTAGTATATATATATATATATATATATATATATATATATACATATGAAATATATCTGTGGTACTATCCCTTGCATATTCAAGAATTAATTGCAATACAAAAGTCTTGTAATCATTTTTAGTTTAAAATTTTATACTAAAAAATCATTTAAATTAAATATGTCGGTTTCTCATTATTGACGATATTTTTTATTATTATATTCATTTCATTTGGATTTTGTCAAATAACTCAAAAATTTCATACAAAACCACCCCTTTTCAGTTAGACAGGGTGCAACTAGATAAAATTTACAATATTTCCTAAAAAACACTTTTATACACACCGATATAAAAGTTTTGAATAAAACGACTCTGAATTCGATATTTCGTCTTATGCTAATATTAGTATCAAACGATTCAGGATGATTTGAAATTTCTAAGACTCACCCAGCATTCTAACTACGTGTCTGGTGGCTTTTTGTTGAGCGTTTCGGACGCCTCCGGGAGTCCTTTTTCGCCTCCCACTGCCACTAAGGCTTCTGCCGCCATAGGAGGCGACACGAGGTATAAAAGCTCCGGCGGCTCCGGTGGAGCCTCCATTTCCTCCGGGGCCTCCGGGGGCGCCGCCGCCTCTGCCGGAGGACGGCTCTAATATAACTATCGTTTTGCCGAAGGATGATTTGTTCGGATTACACTGAAAAAAAAAATAGATTCTTTCGAAAATTTCTTGAAAAAATCTGAAAAATATACAACACACAGCAACTTGCCAATAGGCACTTTGCAAAACAGGGTATAATTAACTTCCCGTAGGGTAAGTTATAGTAATGGGCCGAGAATCAAAATTTTTTTGCATTTCTCGACGTTTTGAAGGTTTCTGAACATTTTTAAGGCATACCTCAGAAACTAAATGGATGTGTGTGTGTGTTTTGTGTGTCCGCATTTTTTCGTCCACGTTTTCGGGCGCACGGGTCAACCGATTTGAATTGTTTAAAAATCATTCAATCCCTATTGATAGGGAGATGTGCTGATTAGTTTTAGGCAAAGGCAGGCCCAGCCATTTCAAAGATACAGAGCAAAATGTACAAAAAATGGCAGTTTTTGAGAGAACTAAGCGTCCGATTCAATTGATTCAAAGAACTTTCTGCTTTTCTTAACAAAATAATTGATTTTGGAAAAAAAAATTTTGTTCCATTTTTTTTTTTTTTAATTTTTTGTATATCGAAAATAATTCAGATTTTATTTATAATTCTGACTGAAGTTCTAATATACTTTAAACAAATAATTTCAACTTTGCAATTCAGTTTATATAATTCTTATAAATATTAGACAATGCTAAAATATTTATAATAATCTATTTGAAAACATTCAATATTCCTCGAACATTTCGTTACGGTACGGGAAGTTCCAGCAATTTGCCTTAAGGCACGATGCCACCCACCCCACTAGTTTTCTTAAAAATTTAACGTGAGTTTTATATTAATATACTAGCTGACCCGGCAAATATTGTTTTCCCAAGTAAGGTATATTCTAAACAATTTCTAGAGAATCAAAAATATTAACACTTTAAGTGTATAAGGATGTGTTGTTTGTTTGAATGCTATATACAATGAGGTATTATAAAAATAATAAAAATATAATAATATATTTCGATTTCAAAGTTGTTTCAAAAATAATAATATATTCTTGTCGAACTTGTGAAAATTTGAAATCAAGGATATTACTATGGCAAATTAAAAATGTTACTAGAACAACTTTTTGAATCACCAAAATATCTGCAATAGTTTTTATAAAATTGCATTTTTACACTTTGCAAATTTTATAAGTTGTAAAAAATCAATATGGATCCTGCGAAATCGAAATGTTTAAAAATGCAATATCTCGAGAACGCTTTGAGATATTTTATAAATTCAAAAAGTCGCTTATATAACATTTTTAATTTGCCATCGAACTGTGTTAATCACGATTTGTTGTTTTAACTCTTTCGCTAAGAAAACAACTTAAATATGCATACTCATATAGAAATCATCAAATAACACAATCGGTAATGAAAAATTACCTTAAAAATATAATAATTAACTATAGAGACACATTCTATCGACTAGCATTGTTAACTATTTCTTCAAATCCTGAAGATTTATTTATGTATTTTTACATTCTTGAGGAACTAGTAAAAATTGAGCATCGAGGGTATTACGATTCGATGGCAAATTAAAAATGCTTCTAGAACAATTTTTTGAATCACCAAAATATCTGCAATAGTTTTTATAAAATTGCATTTTTGCACTTTGCAAATTTTATGAGTTGTAAAAAATCAATATGGATCCTTCGAAATCGAAATATTTAAAAATGCAATATCTCGAGAACGCTTAGAGATATTTTAGAAATTCAAAAAGTCCCTTATATAATACTTTCAATTTGCCATCGAACTGTGTTAATCACGATTTGTTGTTTTAACTCGTTCACTGAGAATGCAACCTAAATTTGCATACTCATATAGAAAGCATCAAATAACAGAATGAATAATGAAAAAACAAGCTTCAAAAATATATTAGTTGGCTATAGAAATACTATCATTTGCATTTTTAACTATTTCATCAGATCCTTGAAGTTTAAATTTGAGAAAAGTGGAAATCGAGAGTATTACTATTCGATGGCAAATTAAAAATGCTTTTAGAACCATTTTTTGAATCACCAAAATATCTACAATAGATTATATAAAATCGCATTTTTACACTTTGCAAATTTTATAAGTTGTAAAAAGTCAATATGAATCCGGCAAAATCGAAATGTTTAAAATTGCAATATCTCGTGAACGCTTTGAGATATTTTAGAAATTCAAAAAGTCGCTTATATAACATTTTTAATTTGCCATCGAACTGTGTTAATCACGATATGTGATTTTAACTCTTTCACTAAAAGTGAAACATTAATTTGCATACTTATATAGGAAGCATCGAATAACACAATCGGTAATGAAAACTAAACTGAGTATCAATTACAAAACTGTCAAGAGTTTTAAATCGATTTTTTTTATTTAATTTCGATCATTGCTACCATAGTGGTCCCAGAACCATTCCTTGAGGTACTCCATATTTAATACTCAGCTGTATAGTATTCAAATTTTATATTGGCTTCTTTTTCTAACAAAAATGTAATTACTATATTGCACAATAAAAATTTCATTTTATTTTATTTTCAATTTTAATTTTATTTTCAAGGTTTATATTATATTGTGTATACGCAAAATCGATAATTGCACTTAAGTCTTCCAATAGGAAGTACTTGGCCAAACCCGGAACAAACAGTCCGGAAGCATTTACAGGCGCAATATCCTCTCTTAGATAGTCCTTTACTACGAAAACTATTCTAATCACACCCTACGGGATATTTACTAAAAGCAAACTAAAACCACTGCATTTAAACATGCAAAATCACATTATTTTGTTTCCCATTTCAATTATCATTACTACTGCACTTGATCCTTCCGAAAGCTCCGCCGTGTTTGAATAATTTAGATGTAGAGTGGGCGTGAGCACGTGCTTTCGGGACAAATGAGTTCTTGAAATTATACATATATATATATATATATATATATATATATATAATACATATATTAAATTTATTGTAAAACTTGCAATGCAATTTATGTGGGTAAAACAGTACATAACCCAAAAAACGCCCGAAACTACATTATAGCAATTCCAAAATTAAGAACTAAAATCGAACATTGATCACTAATTATATAAAAAAAGAGTGCGCGTAAGGTTCACACGCGATTGAAGTAAAGCTTATTTGCTACTGTACAATATGGCATTTAAGTAAAAATAAATACATCATATAACAATTTCGAATAATTGTTTATTAGTAATATAGTAACACTCGTCGTGATGCGCACATTTATTAGTATCGACCATTATACACATTTATATAATAATAAATTATAAATTATATATTTATAATAGCATTAAAAATATATATAATATTTGAAAACAATGTAATTACAGTCATACTTCAAATACGACATGATCGGTTTGTCATTGTAATTAGCATTTAGAAATGAACCTTCATTAAGCAAACTAAAATAAATTAGTAAAGGGACTCTACTGACAAGCTAACCAAAATAAATTAGTAAAGGGGCTCTACTGACGAGCAAACTAAAATAAATTAGTAAAGAGACTCTACTGACAAACTAACCAAAATAAATCAGTGAACGGACTCTACTGACGAGCAACCTAAAATTAATGAGTAAAGGGACTCTATTGACAAGCTAACCAAAATAAATATTATATATTATGAATATATAGTGAATTATGTTAAACAACGGCTAAACAAATATTGTTTTTGCAACTACACTCATCAACATGTAATAATTGTGTTTGAAGAACTTCATGTAATTAAAATTAACATACATTCATTGACTGCTTGTTTTTTTTTACTTTTTCGCTGGCGATATAATCTCATTCTTTAAACAGATGTAATATCTGTCTTGCCTAAAAAAAATTTTCCATTTCAATAACTTCAAAACTTTATAGAAACTACGAATAATATAGAAATCATTTCTGATCAATGAACTTACGTTTAGTACACGGCACAAATGTTTAATTTGTTTAATTATTATCAAGGAACAGGGTAAAATATTCTTCTGATTCAGGCATTTTTCATTGAATCAAGATTTGTACTACGATGTAACTTTAAAATGTTTATCTATCCATGCCGATTTCCTTGTTGATATCGATACGCATACAACGACAGATCTCTATTCACATACACCACGACTAATCACAATCGACCCGTATAGAAATGATATCATCCAGAGCAAATGACAAATCAAATTATTATCTTATCTCCTCTGCCGTAACGCACTTCCGTTGAATTTGTACGGATTTACACCTTAGTCGCGCCTAAAGAAGTTTTGCTTCATTCAAATAGACAAAATAAGCATCAAGAAGCGCAACGATACTTCCTTGCATTGTGAAAATTATCAAGTAATATTAAACAATGTTTCGAATATTGATTTAAATAAATATATATATATATATATATATATATATATATATATATTAGGGTGGTCCTTAATGTGGACATTTTTGAATTTCCTTGCTCCCAAGGGCTCAAATGGTTCCAAATTGATAAAAAACAATTCTCTGAAAGTTTTAGCTCTTAATATTAACTTTTAGATAGAGCGCAATTCAATCAAACTTCGTTTGGAAATAGCATAGAAGAATTTTTGAATATAAAAAAAAATTAGGTATAACTTAGCGACAAATGAATTAAAAGTGAAAATTCGTGTTATTTTTTATAGAAAATTCGACGCTCTGCAAAATTTTTGAAAAAAAATTTTCATGCTCTTTTCATACAAACTTTGATTGAATTGCGCTCTATCTAAACGTTAATATTAAGAGCTAAAACTTTCAGAGAATTGTTCTTTATCAATTTGGAACCGTTTGAGCCCTTGGGAGCAAGAAAATTCGTAAATGTCCATCATAAGGACCACCCTTATATGTATATATGTCTACTAAACACCATACAAAATAATCTTATACAGTTTGCAAACTATCTTCATTATCGTCATCATCATTATCCGATCCTCCAATGCAATTTTCATTAATTCCTTATCTCGAAAGTGCATACAGAACAATCCACTTGCATTAAGTGAATTCATATCTAAATCGGGTACCTTAAGTCTCTACAATTTATTATAGATTATCTAATATACTCGATAGCTTTTTATAGCAACGAGATTACGTAATAGTTTTGTACACAAAAAAATCTACAAAAATGAATATTTCTATACTTGTAAATAATTGATAATAGTTGATGGTCAACTGTTTTAATATGTTGCATTCTCAGTGAAAGAGTTAAAACAACAAATCGTGATTAACACAGTTCGATGGCAAATTGAAAGTGTTATATAAGCGACTTTTTGAATTTCTAAAATATATCAAAGCGTTCTCGAAATATTGCATTTTTAAACATTTCGATTTCGTAGGATCCATATTGATCTTTTACAACTTATAAAATTCGCAAAGTGTAAAAATGCAATTTTATAAAAACTATTGCAGATATTTTGGTAATTCAAAAAGTTGTTCTAGAAACATTTTTAATTTGCCATCGAATAGTAATACCCTTGACTTCTAATTTTCACAAATTCATTAAGAATATAGTATTATTTTTAAAACAACTTTTAGTTCGGAATTTTGATAAATGCAATGGAAAAATCCGGACATGGAAATGGAAATATCTCGAAATTTTGTATAGATAACAATAATTTTCATTAATACAGCAAAAACTAGATAAAACTTACTACATTTGCATACCAACTATTATATTCACTCCTATATAAAAGTTCTGAATAAAACGACTTTGAATTCGATATTTCATTCTTGAGCAATAAATATAAAAAATTCGGGTCTTTTTTTTGTTTTTGTCAAATAACTCAAAAATTTCATATGGGACTACCCATTTTCAGTAAGATAGGATAAAACTAGATAAAATTTGCAACATTTCCTAGGAAACACTTTTATACACTTCTATATAAAAGTTTTGAATAAAACGACTTTGAAATCAAAATTTTAATCTTACCTGTAATCTAACACTAGTACTCCGGTTATTCATAGTATGTCCACTACTTTCATTGCCGTTATCTCCGGTAATTCTGGCCCTATGAAGTTGGGCCGCAATCAGGGCATACAGGACACTTATAAGTAACATTGGGGCCAGAAAACATATCAGGGATGATAATTCGAAGGCCCTGGGAACCAAAGGAGTTTCTACGACTCCGCAGACACAAACGGTGGAGTCGGTTCCACCGTCGGCCCTTGGGCCGTAGACTAGGCCCACTGACATCGCCTGGAAAAGAAAAAAAATAGTTTTATTTATTTATTCATTTATAAGTAAATCAAATTTATATAGTGTGAAAATGTGAAAAAAAAAACAGTTCTCATAAGTTCAAACCTTGTACCACTTGTTTATCTAATTATTATTACAATTTTTTTTAGGAAAGTATATAAAATTTTATACATGTACATGAAATTCTATTTGTTCATCTATACTTCTATATAAAGTTTCAATTCACTTTTCTCTTTGATTAATGAACCAAACACACGAAACACGTTTTAAATCCGATCCGACTACCGATTTTTGTTCTATTTACTTCAAACTTTTTATTTTAATTCAATGCAGCTTGCAAAGATTCATTACAGAGGCTAAATAAATTACAAAAACTATATTTTATTAAACTTTTCTCCAGAATGCAATCGACCAGAAGAACTTTTGTATTTGCCAAGTCATAATTTCATTAAAATTTAATACGAAGTAAATTTTTCTCACAACGAAGATATAGATAAACAACTTGAATAACAAATATATAATTTTGAAATAAATAAACTAGATAAATTACAAAAACTATATTTTATTAAACTTTTCTCTAGAATGCAATCGACCAGAAGAACTTTCGTTTCGCCAAGTCATAATTTCATTAAAATTTAATACGATAGAAGTAAATTTTTCTCACGATAAAGATATAGAAAAACAACTTGAATAACAAATATACAATTTTGAAATAAATAAACTAGATAAATTACACACTAGATAAATTACAAAAACTATATTTTAGTAAACTTTTCTCTAGAATGCAATCGACCAGAAAAACTTTCGTATATTCCAAGTCATAATTTCATTAAAATTTAATACGATAGAAGCAAATTTTTCTCACGATGAAGATATAGATAAACAACTTGAATAACGAATGCATTATTTGGAAAAAAATTGCTACTGTTTTTATTCAAAAATGCAACTCACCCAATCGAAAATCGATTATTTAAGTAAATAATTTATATACGTGGAGTTGTTCTAGATTTTGTGATTGCATGAACACATAATAAAATTATAGTAGACTTATTTGTATATATATATATATATATATATATATATTTATATATTTATTTTACAAGCTGTCGGTATAATAATATTATAATAAGGCCCAAGTCAATATTTTCAATATCAATTTGAAAACTATTAAAAAGGTTTGAATTGTTTTTTTTTTAACTTTGATCATTGCTACTAATGGTCCCAGAACTATTCCTTGGGGTACTCCATATTTAATACTTATTTAATGATTTATTTACAAGCCGTCGGTATAATATTATTATAATAAGCCTCAAGTCAATGTTTTGCAGATTTAATATAATTTAATTAACTATTAGCTATTTTATTACTTATTTATTTATTATTTAATTTATTTACTATAAACTTATTTACCTTTAGTTAGTTTTACCTATTTTTAAATATAACTAGTTCGTTGCAAGTATTTTTTAACAATTTAATAAGTATTTTAATAATCTTTACAATACCTTTACAATATAATTATTTTATTTAACACATTTTAGGTTATTTTTTGATATTTTAACAAATTTAAGTGCCTATTATTATTATTATTATTATTATTATTATTATTAGTATTATTATTATTATTATCATTATTATTATTATTATTGAGTATTTTTACAATATAAGTATTTTCTTTTACAGATTTTTAGGTAATTTGATGAAAGACATATTTTGCTTCACACATTTCATTAATTATATTTTTTTTTAAATTTCTGATAATATGTTAAATAGCAACTTGCCAATAGGCAGTTTTATGCATATGGGGTATGAAAAAATATAATTTTAGAAGCTTAACAAAATTAATAGTAATAAAATTTATTGAAATTAATTACTTTGTTTGATTTGCAAGTTTTTTTAAATTTCGCAAAATATATAGAAAACAGCAACTTGCCAATGGGCATTTTTATGCACATGTGGCATCAAATGATAGCAATTTAAAAGCTTAACAAACAATAAAATTTATTGAAATCTAGTATAATTTGTCATTCACTCTTGGATATTAATATTTAGTAGAATTCGTAGTTGAATTGCAAACTATAGTATTTTTTGTTTATTTGTTTATTTTATTATTTAGAAATATTTTTCTACTTTTTTCAAATAACTTTTAATTTTCTTCTGGAACATTAAAATGTATATACATTAGTAAAAATTAGATAAAATTTACTAAAATATAGTGTCAAAAATTAATTCTATTTGCATATAACGTTTTTAAATATTTCGTAGTTGAAATGCGAACTTTAGTATTTTCATAATTTGCAATATATGGATGTCGGATATTTTTCTATATTTGTTCAAATAACTTATTTTTTTTTTGATACGTTATAATTTATTTACATTGATAAAAACTAGATAAAATTTACTAAAATCTGATAAAAGCAATTATAAAATATATAAAAAATTTTTTCATCTCATAAAACTATTTCAACTAATTAATTTCTTTAAATCGCAAGTTTTTTGTTTAAATTCCGAAAAATTAACTATGACAAACAGCAACTTGCCATTAGGCAGTTTTATGCACATGGGATGTCAAAAAATAGCATTTTTTTAAATTTATTAATAAATAATATATAAATTGTGAAAAATACACGTTGTCCATACACTACAAAATACCATTTACAAAATATACAAGTATTTAATTTTATTTTTTATTTTTAATGTAAAAAAATTTTTATTTGATTTTTTAAAACAAAAAATGTAATATTGAAAGCTAAAATAATGTTATTTTGTTTGTAATTAGTTCAATTTTTTATACTTTTATTTCCAATAGCATTTTTTGAATTTATTAAATTTAACTGTTTTGTAAAAAAAACTTTGTACCTTTTACATTGATTACTGAGTAAAATGATTTGCAAACTAAGTTTTATTACCCAAAAATTAATTATATCAAATAATGAACTTTCAATTAATTTCTATATACTACCAGTTTTTTTAATCTTAAAAACTGGGTCTGAAAAACAATTACAAATAAATAAAAATAAATATTACAATTCAAATTACACAATTTACTCTCTCTAGAGAAATAGTTCATTAAAATGTCTCCAAAGTATTTTCTTGTTTAATCTTACAATTTGTCTTTTACATGATTAAAAACACATTGTAATTACATAGAAAATTACTTTAAAATTTTATTTTTAAATAAAATAAAAGTAGTTTTACTAAACATAGATTAAATTTTTATACAAAGTATACACCTGTCACTATTTAAATTGGTTTCTTATATAATTTGTTTTATGTTTTTTCATTTTTGTTTTAGGAGTTCTATTACCCAATTGTTTATATAAATGTTGTATATAAAATTATGATAACTACATTAAAAAAATATACAAAAGTGCAGAAATAAATCTTTTTCATAGAAATTTCAATTCCTACTTGTTTTTTATACAAAACTTTTCTACTATTAAATCCTCAATTTGTTTTCGAGTGATTTACTGAAGTTTTTCCGAAAAAATAAAACGTTTTCACCTCATTTGTACCTAAGTGATACAATGCCGGATGAAAAATAGTGGCTGCCGGAAAAAAGTCCGGAATAAATCTTTTTGAGTAATTTATATAGAGGTGAATAAGGTGTTTTACTTGGCACGTGTAGGAAAAAAATAAGGGACATATGCCGAGAATATTAATAAAAAAATATTTTTAAATACTATGAGGCTTTGTAATATTAATTGCAACTTCAGTGTAAATACCATGTATTATTTTTCAAATTTATTTTTCTCTGCACGTTTTGCTCCACCGTGAAATATTTTTTGTCATCGATTGATATTCCTCAAACCGTGTCAAAAAAAAACTCTTTCACACTACAATTTGCTTTATGTTTGCATTTTTTGTACATTTAAATTGTGCTTTTTAAAATACTTTGTAAGAGAAAACTGTGCAAATTGTCGAGACAATAATAGAACACAGTTGTAGGTGTATGAACTAGTGCAATGTAAATCAATTTGCAGTTCAGAATTTGTAATGTAGAAATAATAGATTCGAAGAAAGATTGTAGAACACCTAGTCAACAAAATAATTCTTACTGTCTCTGATAAAATTTTCCACTGTATTTCATATGTCTTTTACATCAAAGTCTTTATAAATTTAGCATCTAATCTCCTCGATTTATGTTCGGTCATGACTTTAAGGACTCGAAATGAAAATAAAGTCAACACCCAGAATATTTAACATGAGGGAAAAATATTCTTCTAAAGGCGAAAAAGATTCATGAAAATTTTTGTATCATAAGAAAAGTATTAGAGATGTCCTTGAAGGGTGAGTTATTGTACAGAAATAAAATTCACTTGGATTGATACAGAAATAGATGTATATATATATATATATATATATACATATACATATATATATATATATATATATATATATATATATATATATATATATCGAGACTGAAATTCAACCTGGACATTTTATACCAAATTTATTTGTTAAGTTTTTGTTCAAGATTTGTGATTGCAATAGAGAAATTTGTTGTTGGTATATTATATAATTGTGGCTTTTGTGTTCTATAATTTACAAAAAGCTTAATTTAGAAACAAACCTTACAAACTCTAGTCTCAAACATTTATTTTGGCAAATCAAATGCTTCGATCGTAAATAACCTATAACCTATATAGGCAAAATAAAATAAAATATAAGTAATAAATATAGAAAACTCGGGACATTGGTTTTGTCAAATAACTCAAAAATTTCATACGAAACTACCTCTTTTCAGTTAGATAGAGTAAAACTAGATATAATTTACAATATTTTCTCGGAAGCACTTTTATAAACTCCGATATAAAAGTTTTGAATAAAACGACTTTGAATTCGATATTTCATTCTTAAGCAATATATATATATATATAGATAATTTGTGACATTTTTTTTTTGGTTGTTGTCAAATAACTCAAAAACTTCATATGGAACCACCCTTTTTAAATAAGATAGGGTAAAACTAGATAAAATTTGCAACATTTTTTAGTAAACACTTTTATACATTCCGATATAAAAAGTTTTGAATAAAACGACTTAGTAAAATTATTACCCCTCATAAATTGTTCTCCTAAGTTTACATGTCAGTTTTATACAAAGTTTTTGAAGCATTCGTGACCAAATTTAATTACAATCATTCAAAACTTAGTTTTTATAATTCGTGACTATGTTTAATTAAAATTATTTAAAACTCAGTCTTGAAACAAAGCCAAAAGTAGGCAAATTACATAATGATAAAGTAGGTTTTTGATATCATTTTGAGACACTTTATTGTTTTTCTAGTATTATTTTTATTATTCAGAAATTTTATTTATTTTATTTATTCATTCTACTATTATTATTATTTGCTTTTATTTTAAATTAAATCAACATACTATGGATATCATTTTGATGGAAATTCTATCCTTTATTTTGTACTCTTTTTATTTAAATTTATGCTATTGTTCATTATTATTACTAGATGTTAAATTATTTAGCAGTTGTAACAAATATAGTAATTAAAAAAATACACGTAATAAGTTGTAAATTTTCCGTAGTAAGTAATATAAAGTTTTTCGAAAAAAAATTATAAATATTAATAAGTGCATATTGATATTTTTTGCATCAAAAGCTAGAGTATCTTTACGTTTATTAATACTGTTTTTATTTAGTAGAATGAAAGCTGACTCTGCAAAGCGTCTTCGATAAATAAATTTTGTATCGTAAAAATTAAAAGTGTGATATATATATATATATATATATATATAATATATATATATATATATATATATATATATATTACAATTTACAATTTTTATCTTATAGTGGCTTGTGCACAATTATTTAAATAAAAACCAAAAATGTAATAAATTCAACAAATTAAAAATGACAAATCATAAACAAAAGATGTATGTAGTCAGTTTTGCAAAAAAAGTGTAAATTTTGATTTTCGATTTGTATAGAATTAAATATTTTGTGCCAGACAAATGTGTTTTTTCTAATTTTTATCTTTTGGTAGTTTGTGCACTATTATTTCAATAAAAACCAAAAATGTATTAAATTCAACAAAATAAAAATGCCAAATCAGTAACAAAAAATGTATGTAGTCAGTTTTGCAAAAAAGGGTAAATTGTGATTTTGAATTTGTGTAAAATTAAATATTTTGTGCCTAGACAAATGTGTTTATTACTAATTTTCATCTCTTGGTGGTTTGTACACAATTATTTAAATAAATCCAGAAAAATTGTTAAATTCAACAAAATAAAAATGCAGAATCATAAACAAAAGATGTATGTAGTCAATTTTGCAAAAAAAGGGTAAATTGTGATTTTGAATTTGTGTAAAATTAAATATTTTGTGCTTAGACAATTTTTGAAGTAAAACTTCTTTAGGCGCGATATGGGTGTAAAAATTTCTTCAGGCTACACGGGTGTAAATCCGTACAAATGCAACGAAAACGCCAACGTGAAGTTGAACACTACGACGCCGTAAGCGCTGATGTCGCGAGTATCCACTCATATCGCGTCATGTCATGCGTAAGTCGAGCGCTAAACCCTATATGAACTTGCATTAATTGAATCACGTTTTTTATGTTATGTCCTCATGGAATAAGACTTTTCTTAGAGAATAAATGTGTCATGGAATATAATAAATTTATACTGAATCTCGTTGAAGACAAAATAATATCTACTGCCACGGATATTTATGTAGGTTGCCATGCGACAGATCAACAATCATACATTCGTCAGCAGTTTCACAAAAATCGGTTATTGATACCGGGGGTTTGCCGTATGAAATAATTTTAGTTCTGAATAAATTTTACATAATAACAACTAATATTGATGTGAGTGGTGGCTTAGCTAATGGTTGTGTAGGAAAATTAGTGTACATAGAACGTGGCGATAATGATGAACTTCTACGTTTATGGTTTGAATTTCCTGGTAAGATAGGTAACAAAATTAGAAAGAAAGCTGCACATCATATTCAAACTCTTAATATCAGTAGGACAGTTGTGCCGATTCTCAGGAGATCTTCATCTATTCCAATGAATAGAAATAAAATCATATTTGTCAAAAGAAATCATTTTCCTTTAGTGTCTGCTTGTGCACTCACAATACACAAATCACAAGGTGGTACTTTTGATAAAATTGTATATGAATACAATAAAACACATAATCAGCAGCTTCTATATGTTGCATTATCACGAGTTACCAGCATTAATGGATTGTTCATCATTTCAAAAAATTTTATCATGGAAGAAAACGGCCAGCAGGATTAATGAACTTAAAAACTGAATTCCAAAGACTTTCAACTTGTAGATTAATAACACAAGAAGAAAAATTGAGTGAGATAATAAGTTTGAACGACATTTCATTGTTTTCCTTTAACTGCCAAAGTTTACGAGCTCATTTGCCTGATCTGCAAGATAAAGTGCTACAACGTTGTACGTTTTTGTTATTTTCGGAAACTTGGATTAATAATGAAGAACGAATTGATATTCAGAACTATTACTGCGTTACTCAATACAAACGATCGGACTCAAGAGCAGGTGGTGTAGCTGTCTATCATTCATGTTCAGATACTCTTCATAATGCCACTCCTATGCAGTTTCTTGCGCCAACAATATTACTGGATATTCCTAATGAAATTACACAAGTAGGTGATATTGCAGTTGTCCGCTGTGTGAACACTCAGAATCAAACATTAATTATAGTCGTCCTTTAAATTTCTCCCAATAAAAACGTATCAAATATTATTAAATTTCTTCATCAGCAGTTACTTCATTTTTCTAATGAGGGTGCAAAACTTTTAAACACTAATCACAACGAGATACCATTAATTCTTGCTGGAGATTTCAATGTCAATTTTCGTTCAGAAGAATCTCAACCATTAATTGATTTTTTAAATAATAAATTTAATTTAACAATGAATAATTCTCCATTTGAATCAACCACAAGATATGGCACGACTATTGATGCAGTTTTCTCCAGAAATGTACATAGTTTACAAAGCAAAATTTATGTCTCTCATTTTAGTTATCACAAACCTATTATATCATATATGAAATATGATAGCAATTAATCTATCGATGTTGTTTTAAACTGTGTTATTGATGTTATGTGATTATTAATAAATGATTTTTAAAATTCAAATATGATGTTTTTTTTATTTATATCTTAATTGCCTACTCATACAATATTAAAAGTTTTACTTCAATCGCGTGTGATCCTTACGCGCACTCTTTTTTTTTTCTAATTTTTATCTCTTGGTGGTTTGTGCACAATTATTTGAATAAATACCCAAAAACTGTTAAATTCTACAAAATAAAAATGCCGAATCATAAACAAAGGTTGTACATTGTCATTTTGGCAAAAAAAAGAGTGCGCGTAAGGATCACATGCGATTGAAGTAAAACTTTTAATATTGTATGAGTAGGCAATTAAGATAAAAATAAAAAACATCATATTTGAATTTTAAAAATCATATATTAATAATCACATAACATCAATAACACAGTTTAAAACAACAGCGATAGATTAATTGCTATCATATTTCATATATGATATAATAGGTTTGTGATAACTGAAATGAGAGACATAAATTTTGCTTTGTAAACTATGTACATTTCTGGAGAAAACTGCATCAATAGTCGTGCCATATCTTGTGGTTGATTCAAATGGAGAATTATTCATTGTTAAATTAAATTTATTATTAAAAAAATCAATTAATGGTTGAGATTCTTCTGAACGAAAATTGACATTGAAATCTCCAGCAAGAATTAATGGCATTAAAGAAAATGATTTCTTTTGGCAAATATGATTTTATTTCTATTCATTGGAATAGATGAAGATCTCCTGAGAATCGGCACAGCTGTTCTACTGATATTAAGAGTTTGAATATGATGTGAAGCTTTCTTCCTAATTTTGTTACCTATCTTACCAGGAAATTCAAACCATAAACGTAGAAGTTCATCATTATCGCCACGTTCTATGTACACTAATTTTCCTACACAACCATTAGCTAAGCCATCACTTACATCAATATTAGTTGTTATAATGTAAAATTTATTCAGAACTAAAATTATTTCATACGGCAAACCCCCGGTATCAATAACCGATTTTTGTGAAACTGCTGACGAATGTATGATTGTTGATCTGTCGCACGGCAACCTACATAAATATCCGTGGCAGTAGATATTATTTTGTCTTCAACGAGACTTTCAATTCAATATAAATTTATTATATTCCATGACACATTTATTCTCTAAGAAAAGTCTTATTCCATGAGGACATAATACGGCAACCTCTTCTTTTGTAAAAAACGTGATTCAATTAATGCAAGTTCATATAGGGTTTAGCGCTCGACTTACGCATGACATGACGCGATATGAGTGGATACTCGCGACATCAGCGCTTACGGCGTCGTAGTGTTCAACTTCACGTTGGCGTTTTCGTTGCATTTGTACGGATTTACACCCGTGTAGCCTAAAGAAATTTTTACACCCATATCCCGCCTAAAGAAGTTTTACTTCAATAAATAATATTTCAGTATCAAAAACTTTTGCAAAATGAATTCAAAATTAAACATTTTTGCCCTTGCAAATTATTGTTGTGTGTGAGATTTTTGAGATGTAAAAAATTAGTACAGGCGTTAGTGTTAAAACTTATCCATTAAAAATACTTGCACATGTAAATAATATATATATATATATATATATATATATATATAAAATTATTATTACCTGCGGTATGGCTAGACAGAGAGCTAGTAGCCAAATTGCAATGATATATTTGACTGCCCTGGATAATTTCGACATGGTGTGAGATAAAAAAGGATGGCATATGGCCACATATCTTTCAATTGTAAAGGCTGTTATTGTTAAAACTGTTGCATTTGCTGAAGTCTCTGCTGCAAGGCCCTGAAAAAGAAAAAAAGCATGTTAAATTACAGTAGATAACTAATATTAAAAAAAATATATTTTTTTATTATTGTTCATTCTTGTTACTAGATGTTAAATTATTTAGCAGTTGTAACAAATATAGTAATTTAAAAAAATACACATGACAAGTTGTAAATTTTCTGTAGCAAATAATATAAGATTTTTTGGCAAAAATTTATAAATATTAACGAGCGCATATTGATATTTTGCATCGAAAGCTAGAGTATCATTACGTTTATTAATACTGTTTTTATTTAGTATAATGAAAGCAGACTCTGCAAAGCGTCTTTGTGGAAACCCCGATTTGTGATAAAGAACTTTCGTACCAGAACTTATTATTCTCTTTTTTATTTTATTTATGCAACTATATGATAAAGTATATTCAGTTATAATTATATGCAATTGTAGAAATAACACTAATGGATAGCAAACTGATATCTTTCAAATCAAAATCCAAAATCCGCGATTGCAATTCAGCAAATCCTTCCTGCAGGATAATTACTATGCAACTAAATCCCCAGGTGCATTTAAATGATATGATATGAAATCCAGATCACCAATTAATTGCAGATTATACTAAATCATACTGATAATTTTCATTCATATTTAGGTTTCATAAAACCAAATATAGATAGAAAACTACTTTCCAAATAATTAAGCAATTAATTAATTTAAATGAAAGAAAACTTTCTAGAGAAATGTATAAAAATTGTAATTTTTCTATAGAAAATTCGGGACATTTTTTGGTTTTTGCCAAATTACTCAAACTTTATATTAAAACAATCTATTTTAATAAGATAGGATGAAACTAGATAAAATTTACAACATTTCCTAAGAAACACTTTTATACACTACGATATAAAAGTTTTAAATAATTTTTTGAATTCGATTTTTCATTCTTTAGCAATAATTAGAAAATTTAGGACATTTTTTTTGGTTTTTGTCAAATAACTCACAAATTTCATATGAAGACTCTTTTTGAGTTAGATAGGGTGAGGTGAAACTAGATAAAATTTACAAGATTTTCTAAGTAACACTTTTATACATTCTGATATAAAAATTTTGAATAAAATGACTTTGAATTCGATATTTCATTCTTAAGCAATAAATATAGAAAATTCGGGACATTTTTTTGGTTTTTGTAAAATAAAGATAACTAAAATATATCTTTTTCGATAATTAGAAATATCGTATTCAATTATATAGTTTGAATTTTTTTAAATACAATTTTGTTCTAAGTGTTATAAATTGTTATATACATATTTGTAGTTAATTTTATTACCTTTTTAATGATGTATAATAATGTCTATGTGTTTGAATAAATTGTTTTATAAATTTAGCAAAACGAAACTAGAAAAATGTAACTAGAAGACTAATTATGAGAGGTCTTCAACAAAAATCTCAATTTAAAGTTTTAGATAATTTTTTAAACATAATTTTGTTCTAAATGTTATAATTCATTATATACAGATTTATAGATAATTTTATTAGCTTTCTAATTACATATAATAATATACACATATTTGAAAAAAGTATTAATAAAATTAAACAAAATATAAAAAAAATTAAAAACAAAACTACTAGTTAATGTAAATAATAAGTAACTAGTTAATTATAAAAGTAACATTCAATTCTAAAGTTCAAACATTTTTTTTAAATATAATTTTGTTCAGAGGTTTTAATTTGTTATATAAAGTTTTGTAGATTTTATTAGCTTTTAAATGATGTATAATAATGTATAGGTGTTTGAACAAATTGTTTAAGAAATTTATCAAAATGTAACTAGAAGACTAATTATGAGAGGCCTTCGACAAAAGTCTCAATTTAAAGTTTTAGATAATTTTTTAAACATAATTTTGTTGTAAATGTTATAATTCATTATATACAGATTTATAGATAATTTTATTAGCTTTTTAATGATATATAATAATATACACATATTTGAAAAAAGTATTAATAAAATTAAACAAAATATAATAACAATTAAAAACAAAACTACTAGTTAATTTAAATAATAAGTAACTAGTTACTTATAAAAGTAACATTCAATTCTAAAGTTCAATTTTAAAGTTTTAATATAATTTTGTTCAAGAGTTTTAATTTGTTATATAAATTTTTGTAGATTTCATTAGCTTTTAAATGATGTATAATAATGTATGAAAGTTTAAACAATGAAATTTATTAAAATGTAGAAAATGTGTAATTGGAAGACATTAAACTTTAATTAATTTTTTTTCAATATATTTTGTTCCAATGGTTAAAAATTGTTATATACAGATTTGTAGTTAATTTTATTATCTTTTTAATGATGTATGATAATGCATATGTGTTAGAACACATATAAACATTAATATCGAAAAATGTCACCAAATAAAAAATCCATTCTTTATACATGACGTTCAAGGAAGGAGAAGTTATTTTATTTTTTATATACATATATTATTATATTGTTGTACGTTTTTTTGAATAATTTTGTCCCCAGAGTTAGAAATTGTTGTATACAAATTTATAGATGATTTTATCAGCTTTCTAATGATGTATAATAATAGGTTTTTGAACAAATTGTTTTAGAAATTTATCAAAACGTAGAAAAGTGCAACTGGAAGACTTGAGAGTTTACAAGTATGGAAATTTGAAATTTTGGGTGATTTTTTAAACATAATTTTGTTTTAAGAGATTTAATTTGTTATATACAGATTTGTAGATGATTTTATCAACTGTCTAATGATATACATATAATACTAATAATTTAATTAAATTTGCAAAAAAATATATATGTATAATCAAAAACATTGTAGCTGAAATAACGTGGACGTCTTATGAAAATTTTAATTTCAAAGTTTAATAATTTTTTCCAGACTATTTAGTTCTAAGAGTTTTAAATTTATATTTATATTTATTAAAAATCTACACTCCGATATAAATTTGAATAAAACGACTTTGAATTCGATATTTCATTCTTAAGCTATAAATATAGAAAATTCAGGACATTTTTTGGTTTTTGCCAAATAACCTAAAAATTTCATATGAAACCACTATTTTTGCGTTCGAAAGGGTGAAACTAGTTAAAATTTGCAACATTTCCTAAGGAATAGTTTTATACACTCCGATATAAATGTTTTGAATAAAACGACTTTAAATTCATTCTTTAGCATTCATTAGCTATTTGTACATCTTGTCATTGCCATTTACCATCGCACTACCCAGGCTATTTTCAAACCTACACTTTATTTTATATAAATAAATACATCTATGCCTTATAATAATAATATATTTTATTTAATTTCAAAACAAAAACAGAACATAATAAAATATTTATGCACAAAAACGTTCCTCCACCGTCGTTTTTGTATTGAAATGTCAGTACTCTGTTCTGGGAATTTCTCTATGGAGCTTTCGAGCTTTGTCAAACATTAATTAGAATGAAAGCTCTATATAGTAACTACTTCAAAGGTAAACACAAAGAATTGTATCGTTTGTTGTCCGAATCGAATAAACAGATAGATCATGATACACGTTTCGAATCGTAATTCGATTCGTCTCTAGGAATACGAAATTAAAAAGAATAAGAGTTCGTTATGTAAAATATTGTTTTGTATAAAACAACGCTCTCGTTATTTCAATGTTGATAAAAAATTGTATTCATGAAATGTATCGGAGTATATATAACTGTAGTACATTGTATCTAGTTTCATCCCATCTAACTGAAAAGGGGTAGTTCCATAAGAAATTTTTGAGTTATTTGACAAAAACCACAAAAATGTCCCGAAATTTCTATTTATTGCTAAAGAATGAAATATCATCAAATTCAAAATCGTTTTATTCAAAACTTTTATATCGGAGTGTATAAAAGTGTTTCCTAGGAAATGTTTTTCATAAGCAATAAATATAGAAAATTTGGAACATTTTTTTGGTTTTGTCAAATAATTCAAAAATTTCAAATGGAACCACCTCTTTTCAGTTAGATAGGGTGAAACTAGATACATTCTAAAACTTTTTCTAGAGAGCACTTTTATACACTCCGATATAAAAGTTTTGAATAAAACGACTTTAAATTCGATATTACATTCTTAGGCAATAAATATGGAAAATTCGGGACATTTTTTTGGCTTTTGTCAAATAACCCAATATTCTCCATCGTTTTTGATCGCCGTAATGAAGTGTTACTGTATATATAAATATAATGAAATCGATTATTTGAAATAAAAATATGTATTCGTTCAACAATATTTATAATTTGGTCAAAATCTTATGCACATCATCATCTAACTTATTGTCAAATGCATTTTAAAACTAAAATCTAATTGAAAGTGCATGTAAAAATGTAAATGTGCCACAACTCATATATATATATATATATATATATATATATATATATTAATTGTTTAATATGAACAAAACAGCACTCAGATTTGTTTAACACAACTTTATTTTATGATTACAGGCGTTTCGAGACCATGGTGTGTCTCATCTCTCAAGTACTTCAAATTTGTTTAGAATATTTCTGTAAGTGTTATACGAGTATGTTTCTTTAGTACTGTGTCAAGCATTGCAAGGAATAGTTGGTGTTTTTTGTGTATATCAAAAATTAAATGAAATTTAAATAAATTATTAAAGAATGTGTAGTATATAAGTAACTGTTTTTGAAATTACACTGAAGATGAGACACACCATAGTCTCGAAACGTCTGTAATCATAAAATAAAGTTGTGTTAAACAAATCTGAGTGCTGTTTTGTTCATATTAAACAATTAATATTCGTTCCACTCATATCATAAAATTCTATAATATATATATATATATATATATATATATATATATATATATACACATGTGTATATATATATATATATATACACACATATATTGATAAAATTCTCATTCCTTAGTATTTATAAATTGAAGTACATTGAAACTCTAGCAAAGTCTTAATAAATAGGCAAAAGAAAATAAAATATAAGTAATAAATAAAGAAAACTCGGTACATTTTTTTGGTTTTTGTCAAATACCTCAAAACTTTCATACAGGAACCATTCCTTTTCAGTTAGATAGGGTAAAACTAGATCAAATTTACAACATTTACTAGGGAACACTTTTATACTTGTTATTTTTTCATTACCGATTGTGTTATTTGATGCTTTCTAATGCAAATTAATGTTGCATTCTTAGTGAAAGAGTTAAAACAACAAATCGTCAATAACACAGTTCGATGGCAAATTGAAAGTATTATATAACGGACTTTTTGAATTTCTAAAATATCTCGAAGCGTTCTCGAGATATTGCATTTTTAAACTTTTCGATTTCGCTGGATCCATATTGATTTTTCACAACTTATAAAATTTGCAAAGTGTAAAAATGCAATTTTATAAAAACTATTGCAAATATTTTGGTGATTCAAAAAGTTGTTCTGATACCATTTTTAATTTGCCATCGAATAGTAATACCCTCGATTTTCACCAGTTCAGCAAGAATATTCATTATGCATAAATAAATATTCAGGATTTGAAGAAATAGTTAACAATGCAAGTTGACATGTATTTTTATAGTTAATTAATATATTTTTTAAGTCATTTTTCCATTACCGATTGTGTTATTTGATGCTTTCTATTTAAGTATGCAGATTAATGTTACATTTTTAGTGAAAGAGTTAAAACAACAAATCGTGATTAACACAGTTCGATGGCAAATTAAAAATGTTATATAACCGACTTTTTGAATTTCTAAAATATCTCAAAGCGTTCTCGAGATATTGCATTTTTAAACATTTCGATTTCGCTGGATCTATATTGATTCTTTACAACTTATAAAATTTGCAAAGTGTAAAAATGCAATTTTATAAAAACTATTGTAGATAATCTGGTGATTCAGAAAGTTGTTCTTACAGCATTTTTAATTTGCCATCGAATAGTACTACCCTCGATTTACAAATTTTACAAGTTCGCCAAGAACATATTATTATGTTTAAAACAACTTTGAAATCAAAATTTTGATAAATGCATTGGAAAATTCGGGACATTTTTCTACATTTGTTCAAATATATCTAAAATTCCGACATAAAAGTTTTGAATAAAACGACTTTAAATTAGATATTTCATTCTTTAACAGTAAATATAGAAAATTCGGGACATTTTTTTGGTTTTTGTCAAATATCTCAGAAATTTCGTATAGAACCACCCCTTTTTAGTTATATAGGGTGAAACTAGATAAAATTTGCAATATTGCCTAAGGAACACTACAGCAACAACATAAATATAAATTTTCTTATTATTTTTTTACCTGCATAACACAAAAGGCCTCGCCAAACAAATAAGGGTACTTGTACCAAAGGGCGTACATCTCATAAGGCAACCCCGCCATCAGAAGCAAAAGATCAGAGACCGCCAAACTGAACAAATAATAATTGGTGGCGGTGTGCATAGACTTATTCCTGGCTATCACAACACATGTACTGACATTTCCTATTGATCCAACCACCAAAATAGCCCCATAAATGATGGTCAGAGGTATGACAATGTAAAGGGCATCACGTTTCGGACCCCAGACTCCGTCTTCGTCAGAAATCGAAGGCTGTACGGTGGAGGAGTAGATGGACGCCACTGTTTGGTTGGTGGTTATTATGGTGTCGTTGGGGGTTAGGGATGAGGTGTTCCACATTTTATAAGGGGTAGGTCATGATATAGTGGTCAGTGGTTTGGGGTTGACTTGCTGCACATTTTCTGGGGTTTAGTTGGTCTATTTTTACATTTGGTTAGTGATGAGGTGCTCCACCAAAATTAGTTATCACTTGGTTAGTGATGTCTTGTTTTAGAAATTTTAGGGTTTTATGTCATCATTTGGTGTCACTAGGTTAAGGATGACTTGCTCCAAATTTTTCTGGAGTTTAGTTAGTCATTTATTTCACTTGGTTAGTGATGAGTTGCTCCACAAAATTAGTTATCACTAGGTTAGAGTTGCTCCATAAAATTTGTTATCACTTGGTTAGTGATGACTTGTTGCACAATTTTTAGGGATATATGTTATCATTTAGAGTCACTGGGTTAAAAATGACTTGCTCCACATTTTCTGGTATTTATTTAATAATTTGTGTCACTTGGTTAGTGATGATTTGCTCCACAAAGTTTGTTATCACTTGGTTAGAGATGACTTGTTGCACAATATTTAGGGTTTTAGGTTATGTTATTTATAATAACATACATTTATGTTATCATTTGGTGTCACTAGATTAAAGATGACTTGTCCCCCATTTTTTTGTGCCTGGGACATAATTTGTTTCACTTGGTTGGTGATAAGTTGCTCCACATGTCTTGAAATTTTGTTTCAAATTTTTTAGCACTTGGCTAAGAATAAGTTGCTCTACAGTTTTTAAGGTTTTACCTCATTATTTGGCTTCACTAGGTTATTGATGAAATATTCCACATTTGTATAATATATGATTTTTTATTTGTTTCATTTGGTTAGTGATGAGTTGCTCCACATGTTTTAGGTTTCAGTTCAATATTTGGTTAGTGATGATTTGCTTTACATTTTTTAGGATTTTAGATCATTGTTTGGTTTTAGTAGGTGAATGGTGACTTTTCCCCACATTTGTAAAGTGTATGATTTTATATTTGTTATCACTTGGTTAGTGATGAGTTGCTCCACGTGTTTTTTGGATTTAATTCAAAGTTTGTTAATACATTTGGTTAAGGATGAGTTTTTCTGTATTTCATATGGTTTTAAGTCATTGTATAGTTTGACTGGGTTATAAGTAAGTTGCTCCACATTTGTAAAATTTATAATTTTTTATTTGTTATCACTTGGTTAGTGATGAGTTGCTCCACATGTTTTTGGATTTTATTCCAATTTTGGTCAGAGATAAGTTGCTTCACATTTTTTAGGGTTTGGGGTCATCAATTGGTTTCACTAGGTTAATTTTCATTTATTTCACTTGGCTTCACGTGTTTTTGGATTTCACATAAAACTTATTTAGTGATAAGTTGCACCACATGTCTGAGGATTTATAATTTTTTAGGTTTTAGGTCATTATTTGGAATCACTTTGTTTAGAGATGAGTTTCTTCACATTTTTTAGGGTTTTTGGTCAATATTTGGTATCACTTGGTTTAGACATAAGTTGCACCACATTTTTTAGGGATTAGTTCCCTAAATTACTTTAGGGATTTATTATTACTTTTTCCATATTTGATGGTATTTGCTTCCTATGATAAGATCTATGATATCTAAGGTAAATCAAAAATCTGTTATTTTGTATAAAAAAAATTATAAAATCTACGATTGTTAAGTTGAGTTAAATTAGTTTAAATTTCAGTTTTGAGTATTTAAAAATGTAATAATAAACCGGCGACGTGAATAGTTAAAATAGTTTAAAAAAACCATTAAACTATTTAAAACTCTTAAAATGAACGGAGTTGTATAAACATGCTAAAACTGCGCAAAACATGCGGTTTAGTCATTATATATATATATATATATATATATATATATATATGTGTGTGTGTGTGTGATAGATAAATTATTAATACATTCTATCGAAACCAAAATCATTACCATGTATTTCATTTACTATAGATTTTAAGCCAAGGATTATAAAACAATAGCGTGACAACCTCTATGAATTTTATAATCTGCGAATGCAAGGATTAATTTCGAACATTATTTTCCAAAAATGAAATACATACAAATGAATCCGCACACAAAATTATATCTGAACAAAAAGTGTTGTATGTAACACTTTTTTGTCACAAATTTTGAAAGTATTAAACCCAGAAAACGCTAAAATGGTGAAAACCAGAAAATGGAAAAAAGCCCAAAATTTCAAAAGGAACAAAATTTCTGAAAGCCTAATTTCCAGGTAACGGAAAAATTCACAAAACGCAAATATGCTTAAAAGTTAAAAATCTAGAAAATACTAATCAAGAAAGTTAAAAATCCAATAAATCACAAATCAAGATAGTTAAAAACCCAGATAATCACAAATCATGAAAATAAAAAATCCAGAAAATCACACATTAAGAAAGTTAAAAATGCAGAAAATCACAAATCAAGAAAGTTAAAAATTAATCAAGAAGTTCAAAATCCAGAAAATCACAAATCAAGAAAGTTAAAAAATCCAGAAATCCTAAAAATTGTAAGGTTATATGTAGTGCATATAATTCATACACAAATCGATTTTAATACTAAGGGTCGTCTATAATACTTTTTCGTCTGATAAAAATATGATATATTATGGCCCATTAAATATTTAAGATGCAAAAAGCCGCAAAATGTATGTTGGATATAAAAAGTCGTGTAGATATTATTTGAATTCTCTGTAGAGAGTTAGTGTTAAAGATTATTATTTATATAAAATAATAATAATTATTTGCTAAATTTAAATCTCTAAATACATGAATAGTGTTACCAATTTTTACTGATTTTTTTTTTCAAAAAAATATTACTAAATTTAAACTTCTAAATACTGAATATTATTATCAATTTTAACTGATTTTTTTTTTCAAAGAAATATTACTAAATTTAAATCACTAAATACATGAATAACGTTACCAATGTTTACTGATTTTTTGTCAGAGATCTATGAAGACGTATGGTGTAATATAACTTTATTTCTTATTTTAAAAAAATCTGTGGAAAATATTTATAATCAAATTTCTATGTTTAATATCTAGCAATCTTAACATAACTTTCTTCCAAAAAAACGTGAATAAAACAATAATGCACTGAACTTTCCAAAAACAAATTAAAAAAATTAAAATTTTGTCTATAACAATTAAAAACGTACTAAATATATATAACCGGTATGCTTTTTTGCACTTTTACCTAAAACAAGGCCTAGAACCAGGTTGAGTGCATATTTAGCCTACCGGTTTTAAATGGGACTTACGCTAAAATCAAAAGTATATAGGAAACAATATAAAATTAAATCGTATAGAACATTATCATGATACTATCTGTCAATTAAATTAAAATAAATTGAAATAAATTAAAATAAATTAAATTAAATTTTAAAAATTAAATAAATAAATTATGCTTTACGTAATTTTTATTTTAATTTTTTTTGCTCTATTTTTTCGACCAGCTTTCTAACTATATATAAAATATTCTCGTTCCTTATTGAAAACGAATATATTGTCGGTAATAAAACTCATCTTTCTTGGACATTTGCATATTTTTTTATGTAAAAGAAATACGTACGACGAATATTTTTATGAACACGTTTTTATGCAAAAATCTTTGCCGAAACGAAGATGTAAAATTTTTGGAGGGTGTAATAATGTCATCTTGTGGTAATATATATTATATATGTATTAGGGTGGTCCTTAATGTGGACATTTTCGAATTTCCTTGCTCCTAAGGGCTCAAATGATTCCAAATTGATAAAAAAAACAATTCTCTGAAAGTTTTAGCTCTTAATATTGTCTTTTAGATAGAGCGCAATTCAATCAAAGTTTTGTATGGGAATAGCATGAAAAATTTTTCAAAAATTTTGCAAAGCGTCGAATTTTCAATGAAAAATGACACGTCTTTTCATTTTTAATTCATTTGTCGCTAAGTTACACCAAAAAAACATTTTTTTAAATTTTAAAAAAATTTCCATGCTATTTCCATACGAAGTTTGATTGAATTGCGCTCTATCTAAACGATAATATTAAGAGCTAAAACTTTCAGAGAATTGTTTTTTATCCATTTGGAACCATTTGAACTCTTGGGAGCGAGGAAATTCGAAAATGTCCATTTTAAGGACCACCCTAATATATATACATATATACATATGTGCTTTTTTAACTAAAAGATCAAAAAACGAATTCATTGACAAGAAAAAAATACATCTGTCTAAATATATCTTTTTTTCTTGTTTTTCAAAGAGAAATTGTCGAATTGAGAACCTACGCAAAAAATGTTTTAAGGAAAAAGGATTTTATTCTTTTACTTAAGGTAATATATATATATATATATATATATATATTTATATATGTGTGAATTGGATTCTTGACATTTCCGAACCTTTTTTATTCAAGCCCTATATAATTTGGGTGAAAATAATAGAATAATGTAGTGGAAAATTTTGTAAGGAAAAACTTACTAAACTTGAAGACCGAGAAACAAAATTATAACTAAATAATATTCAGTATTAAAAATAATAAAAACAAATAATTATATCAAATTTTTATTAAATTAGTTGATCATAAATATTTAAATCGATTTCCATCTAAATTTTCCTCAACTTTTTCCACAAGCCTCCTACTAATAATTTACTTAGATCTATTTTAACTATCCACGTGTAGAGTTTCATACCAAGTGCAAAATAATGCATTTCAAATTATATTAAATTAAACTTTAATATTATTAAACTCCTACAAATCTTCTAGAGTTTCATCTAATTTTAGATAAGAAATTTTCTTAACGTAGGTGGAGAGATATTTGATTTGTGGGAAATTTCTACAAGAAAATCTATTTTAAATGGTAGAGAAGATAATTATTAGTATTTTGTAATTGTAATATAAATTAACTTATAACTAGTGGTGTATGGCATCGTGCCTTAAGGCAAATTGCTGGAACTTCCCGTACCGTAATGAAATATTCGAGAAATTTTAAACGTTTTCAAATATATTATTACAAATAGTGTAACTTTCATTATTTTTGCTATCTTATTGTTAT